CCCCCCCCCCCCCCCCAACCTAAACCCGCCCGGCAGCAGAAAAAACACCAACGGCACCTCGCCGGAGCAACGACGCATTTCGGGCCGACTCTCCCGGACCTTCGCTCGCGGGCCTGGGAGCCGTGCTGTCTTGAGGGCTTAGGGTAACAGGGTGGGGTGTACGTAGGGCCTTCAGGGTGTTTTGGGCGTAGGATTCGGGGTTGTTGCTTTTTTTTTTATGAGGCTTGGTGCATGTGTTGGAGGGGTGCGAGGGCTTCAGGGGAAAGGCTTAGGGGACTTAGGGGTTTAGGAGTTTGTGTCAGGCTGGTTGGGAGTGCCTGAAGCTCAAGAGCCCTAAACCTCACACACCCTATCAGGGCACAAAAGTTAACACCAAGACAGCCGCCATAGAAAGCCTGGTAACCTTGACCGCAAACCCTCCCGTAAACCCTAAACTATTGGTCTTCATTGCTGCCAAAGTGGCGGAGCCGTTGTGTTCCATCGGCTTCCACCTGAGGGACGCCGTCTGTCATAGCTCAGGGTATTGTTCCCTCCCCCGAGTATCGGCCTGCTAATGCCATGAATGGCCAGTGCGAACAGGTCACCATTACCTGAATACCTGATGATGCCAGCCTGCCTTTTGGCGGGGTCCTCCTATGGAGATACTAGCCGACTTTTGTGCTTCATAGAGTTTGCCGACTCAAGGTAGGCTATGGTCGGTTAGGGTGACACCAAAGTGGCTAATTAACAGGCAAACCGCACCTGAAAGGCTGCTAAACCCTCGAGGTCCCCAATAGCCTAAATCCACCGAACGAATTCCGCCGGAGGGGAACCATTGGCTCTGCTGGTGGTCCTAGCCGACAGTGCGTCCATCTTCGCCAGAAATGTTGGCAAGTGCACAGGTGTGTAGGGGTTGTGCAGGGCTTTGGAGGGGCTGTTATTGTCTTTACCTTCAGCCCAGGACGTGTCTCTTCTTTTCATGTCCGGAGTTGTCGTTGAGCGCAGTCTTCCTGTCGGTATCCAACCCAAAGCCGATAAACCTTTACAAAACCCTCTGGATGCCTACAACAAGTTCCCTAGAGGCTTCTAGGAATCCCGAAAGCCGTGCTGTACAGTTCTGTGACAGAGCCCACGGCCAATCGCAAGCGGCGATAGTGGACGCCAAAGCTGCGTTCGGGCGCAAGAGGAATTCAGTGGAGCCCTGATCCGCGGTTTCTTGGGTTGCGTGGCCGTGGGGTGTAAGGATTAAGGTTCAGGCTTAAGGGCTCAGGGATACTTACTTGGGGCATCGCAAGGCTCTATAGGTTTGCGAGACGCTAAATCTAAGTACAGCTCTGTACAAGAATCTGTGGATGTTGCTGCCGCGGTTTGTAAAGCTATATACACCCTAAACTGAGGGCGCCCACGTTGAGCAAGAAGATTCAAGGACGCAATGTTTAAGGTTATACAATACAATACTATACGATACTATATTGTACGAGACTGTACTATGCTGTACTATACTATACTGCACTATACTACACTATACTACACGATACTACACTATATTATACTATACACTATACTATACTACACTATACCATACTGCACCATACCATACTAATACTGTATATACTGTATTATATGATAATATAAATATAATATAGTATATTGTAATATAATATAATATAACATAGTATAATATAATATACTACTACAAGACGACTAGATAATAAGGGAACGATTCGGAAGACAATTCAGATGCTATGAATTGATCGTTTGAAGCTTCGGCTTGGGGCTTTGGGGGGGTTCAGTTTAAGTGTCTCAACCCTCCCACGTCAGGGTGTAGGGCTCAGCTTGGGCTTCCGGAACATCGGAACATGGGCGCAAAATCAAAGGTTTGAAGGCTCCAGCCGGTCGACACAACGCAACTTGGGGACGAAGTAGCGAAATTGGGCCGTGTGGTGGGAGTGGCTTTCTGGACTCGCCAAGAGAAGAGAAGAGAAGGGCTCTTGCTCCTATGGACTCTCTGGGCCATAGTTAAAGGTGTGGATGGGTGGGAGCTCACAAACTCAGGCAGTTCCGACCCTTAGTATCAGAACCCCCCTTCAACAAAAACAAGTGTAAGTTGAAGCAAACCGCAGGCGAAGACAGGCCTCGCCGATGGCAGGCTACGAAGTATCTGAGTAGACTTTTTGGGATATGCAGCATGGTCAGGATTGCGTTTGGGTATGGTACGAGGCTTCGGATCGTAAGCAGCTCAGGTCCAAGAGTATCGGCTGTTCGAGTCTTGGGGTTATGGGTGTGAGGCATGGTCGTAAAACGCTTGGGTCTACCGGTCGGGAGTCGGGAACAGAATCTGAGTCGCAGGCTTAGGAATGGTGATACTGGGTGTGTCACGATTCAGGTAGGAAGACTCCGATGTGTGTCTATGCAATTTGGCGTGCTGTCGAGGCGGGAGCAGGGGATTGACCGAGATTTTGGAGTTTTTGTTGATCTAAGATCCCCCCAAATTAACAGAATCCTGTGGATACGGACTCCTCCCCCCTCAAAAAAAACTGATAAGGAACCCGACAATTTGATAAACCCCATGCCCGGCTGTAGCTGTTCCATGCGTAATGCCACCCTGGTCTAAACATCCCAAGCTCAACGATCTCGACTCTCGCGCTTAATGCAAGCCCCCGGCCAAGAATTCCTCTCTCCTGAAGGGCCTTCATGGGAACTTCCCGATTGTGATCGTGCTTGCTGATGTTCTATTAGTATTTACTTCGTACTGTTTCTGTCGGTCATCCTGAAGCCTACATGCCAAACCGTCTTGACAAAACTGCGCTGATCTTGAAGGCCGTTTATCAATAAGATGTGTTTCCTGCTTCAGACAGTACTGTGAGAAGACTAAACGACCGTGTTCAACACTGCCTCGGGAAACCTCAAAAAGAGCCTATCTTCCGGGATGCCGCGCTGGCAAAGGGAGTGCCACCCTCCGAGCAAGGGCCTCAGGGTTTCGGGTTTAAGGAGTCGTGGTAGCGGGGGAAACAGCCGAGTCCCGGTGGGGTTTCTAGGGGGGGAGTTCCGGCGCAGGATAGAAGTGCAAGGACTCCCGTCCGAGCGGCCAACTCAGGCCAACTCACCCACTATTCATGCTTGGAGTTGAGAGGATTGCGATGACACAAAGGCCTAGCAGATCTCGGTCGAGTTTACGGCCCTAGGCCCGAGACTCTACTCAACAACCCGAAAACCGAAACTTTGCACTCGAAGCCTTAGAGGTCGTGAGCCAGCCCCTATCTCGATTCGGGCTGGGGTCTATACGACCTCGGTTGTAGGATTCGTGGGCTTCGGGTCTCGGACTCAGCGCTTAGGATCGCGGAAGTGGCTGTGGAGGTCATGTCATGCATTAGCATACAGCCTGAGCCTGTGTAGGCTTGGTTGATGCGGGCCTTGACTGAAAGATTTAACTCAGCACAACTAGCTTGTACATCCTTAGAATTATGTGCATCATGGTGTACAAGCATCATACTATGTTCTACCATAGGTTTTTGAGAACAAAGAGAAATAAAGACTAATCTGAGCCGACTAGACAGTGATGCTCTACCGCAGAGCCAGAAACCCCCAGTCGGGCATCAGTGCCTTGCTGAGTGACATGGCGTGGGCGATGGCGCATCGCGCACGGGACGAGAAAAGGAGAAGCTTGAGGATCTAGGGGTTAGGGGTTAGGGTTCCATGGTCGAGGGTGAGGAACCCTAAACCCTAACCTCTGAACCCTAAACCTTAAGGTTTAGGTTTGAGTTGCGTTTTAGCATCTTCGCTGAGGCTTCCGGGCTCAATCAAGGCTTAGGGTTTTTTGGGGATTGGGGCTGAAGCCTTCGGGAGCATGCCCGAAGTGCTTTGGACATGGGGTGCAGGGCTCGAACTATACGGAAGTGCTGAGGATGTTGGCTTCGGGGTATAAAAACGGAGGACAAAACCTTAAACCCTGAGCCAGAGGACCTAAATGTCAGGGTTTTACGGGTTCTGTGTTAATGCGATCTCCGGTTCGGGCACCTTTTCATTACGCTGCGAAGATAAATAGGGATCTTACATAGGCTTCCTTTACAACAATTATGGAGACATGACATTTCGAGGAACACAACAAACCCTTCTTAAGGCATTGCCTTGGCTTCCCGTAACTTGGAATCCAAATCAGGTGCAAGCAGGTGTAAGCCCCCTGGACTTGCGAGAGGCTCGCGCTAAAGGTCCGAAGGGCCGAATAAGTAGGTACTCAGGTTGAGGATCGTATTCCTGTCGGTTAGTATTTGGGAGGGTACATGGTTATTAGGCACTTGGACCCTTAGGGTCGGATTCTTCAGGACTTCGTCTTCCACGTTTCGAGCTCGAACCAATGAGATGCGGAGAACAGGTTTCTCACCCAAGAGTTTTAGGGTTTTGGGATTAGGGCCCGCCATCCCCGAGCGACCTCGAACCCCAATCAGACATCCCATCCTGCTGCAAGACGATCCATATGGGTAGTTCTTTAAGTTAGGCTCCCTTATAGGGTCCTTTTTATAAGGGTGCCGTACTATGTTGGGGATCTACAGAAAAGGGACCCTAATTTAGAGAACCACCCATATTGCAGGATCGAAGCTGGTATAGGAAGGGCCTCAAGGATTGCAGAAACCCCTAGACGACCAAACTCCAACGCCCACTCAACTCTTAAACTACCGTCAATTGCTCTCTAGTCATAGCATAAACTGCTCTGGTCGAAAACTTCCCTAAATAACAGGTCAAAAGCGGCAGCTGCTGCAAGCTGGAACCGGTCATCCATTCAGGGGTGTAGGGCTTGGGGGGTTTAGGGTTTAGGCTTTTAGTCGTGCAGCATTTGGCGAATAAAGGTTTAGGGTATGAGGTTGCCCGATTTGTTGTACTGCCGAACAATCAGAGTCTGCTCCTGCTACCGCCTTCGTTGCTTTGCCTGCGCCAGCCACATACTGTATTGACGCTGGTTATTCCTGACGCTCAAATATCTACATCCTCCGCCATGCCATGACCTCTAAACCCCAAAGCGGTCCGAAGCCCTGACTCTTGTCGAATCATCCCTCAGCGAACTTTTCTTGAATATGCTCGATACCATCCCACAAACCCGAAACCTCGACAGATTCAGGGACGATGGTTCGATGTTTAGGGCTTATTTCCGTCCGGGGTTTAGTGTGGTTCAAGCACACGCCAAGGCAAGACTCAAAGCTTGAAAAACATTTTACCGGTTTCCTCGCTGCGGGCACGAACGCTTTCCGAGTTGCTCCCGGGCTTCTTTCATGCGTCGAGCTGCCACCTCAGTGGTGAAGAGATGCTTGAAGGGTGCTGTGATCGGTTTCCTAAGGGCTTCGATGGGATTGGGTAGACTATATACAAGCTTGTCCTAGAGTTGCGCGTTTAGGAGTACAGTTCAGGGCTTCGAGTCCCAAAACAGTCTGCAAAGAACGGCAAAGAACAGACGCCCTAATCCAAACTCACACTCCCTAATTAAAACTCCAGTTCCGAAAAGTGACCCCCACAGCCCAAGGTTCACGGGCTTCACGTGCACCCTTGGTCAAAAGAAACAAACTGCTGCGTTAAGACGAGTCCATGAGATCACTGTAATTGCGCTACCTCTACTTAAATGCGATTCTGAGCCCCAAACTTGTAAATCCTAAGCCCGTCTTAGACTCGGGATCTCCCAACTAATGTTCAAAGGACCGTCTTGGAGGTGCCGGCGCATTTCCAGGGAGGCTTCTGCCGCACGTCGCACTTGCTGCGCTTCAGCACCTTCCGCGAGCCAGCGGTATAGGGTTCGGTAAATTATTTCGCATGCTGGGTCAAAGGTTCTACGGTTTAGGATTCAAGGCTTTTCTGGTGTGACGATTCAGGAATTCTACTTGCACGGTAAAAAAGTACCAACAGGGATTTCCCCGGATTCTTACACAACGGTTGAATCAGTTGAGACTTCTGGAACTTTTCGGTGCTCGGGACGGTTGCGGACGGTCCGTCTGGCTCTTGCAGGGCTCAAAGGCTCTTAAAATTCCACGCAGCTTTGTGTTCGAGTTCATTGTGTATTCAACATCCCTCTAAGCTATGGCTATACCCCTAAACCCGTGACTCATGTGTTTTCAATTCTCCCACTAGTGTCCTCCTTAATTCCTCACAAAAAGACATGCCAGGGTCGGGAGCTTAAGTTAATGGTTCTAGTCGCTGATGGTTTGGGCTACAAGATTTCGCGTTTAGGACTTTGGGCGTCGAGTCAAACCCAAGTCCGAACCCTGAGCACCCTAAGCCATAAAAGTCAAACTCCAAACCCCAAACTTTGAGACTCAAACCCGCGGCCTGAAGCCTAGACCTCAAACCGTAAGCCGTAAACCCCAGAGCCCAATTTTCCAAACCCACAGCCCTAAACCCCCTCAACCCTAAGTGTACTACGCCACGCGTGAATCAGCACTTCGTAGCTTCGGATATGGGTGTGGCGCGCGCTCTTGGGAAGTTTGGGTGTCTTTGCCTCGTGTCGTAGGTTCGCACCAGTTTCACCCCACCCTGAATCCTTCGTTAAGGAGTTTGGGTGTTTCGACTGGGTCTAGGAGTCTGAGGGGTTGTGGATTAGGGTGATCGGCTTTGTTCGGCTTCCCCGACTTGGACTGAACCGATCACCCAGACATCATCGAACGGTCTCTGACGCCGAGGGGCTTTTGCTCGCGGCTCTTGCCTGGCATGGCGCTGTAATGACTGTTCGTCCATCATCGTCATCTTCACAAAAATGGGCAACAGCATCCACTCTGAACACCTTCGTTCATCTTCATAATCGTGACCATCATCGTGAGTCGTGAGTCCTGGAGTTTGCTAACAAAGCTTTGATAAGTAGCAGCAGCTCCGAACTTCTAGAGGAACTTGCCGCATGCAGACACTCAACCCAACGAGACTTGATAGAGGGCCTGAAGACGCAGTTAGACCATGACATTACATCTTCGAAACGACAATACACAAAGCGAGCAAACATACCGGTAGATGTGGCAAGATAGCGCTATGAGCCCAGCCCCCATATGCACAATTTGCATGGTAACCTAGTCTTTCGGTGACTGGGGTCTCAGGCTAGGCTGCCACCTGCAGGACTGCTGGCCGTGTTCGCCAGGTCAGCAGCTATCTTCGCGTTTGCGAGAAAGAGACGCTGACATGGTTTGGCGCGGGTGAGACGTCAGAAATCTGCTGTGCTAGCAGCGACGCCGTTGAGAAATATCGGGGATGCAGAAGTTGATTTCGTTCGCCATGATTTGATGCTTACGGCCATGTCATGTATGTTCGTCAAGCCTCAGCCGGATAACACAATCCAGCTGCACTCTATCGCCACGAGGTCTGTGCGGGTCGCAGCTCAAAGCAGAATGGAAAGCAAATATAGGTTTCAGAAACTGACCGACCCGTTCCTCAAGCAATGAATGAACTTCAAGTCTCGAAACACAAATCATTAAGCCTTGCATCCACCGTACTCCCTTGCGCGCCTGTGCCAATCTCGCTTCAGCCTTCGCGCGCGCAGCGATGCTGGCGAAAATTTGACTCCGTAGCTGTCGAGCATCATGCTCCAGCTTTACCTGGTCGAAACAAAGTGACCCAGGATAATGAGACTGAGTTGAATGGGGGGACAACACGGCTGATGATGCAAGAGCAGTTGACTGGAGGTAGTGGTGAATCGTTCTTGAGCCCTCAAAAACACCCTCTGGGCTCGGAAAGTTGATATCTTGGAACTGCCCAAACAACTCGGCCTCGACGCTAGGTTTTGCGATTTTCTTTGCAAGGTAGGGTGTTGAGGCCTCTAGCCTTATCCCCAAGCATTCAACTCTTGAAACGAAATTAGGCCCGAAATCCTAAAGCCAGCATTTTAAACTACTCCGAACCCCAACGGTGCAGACTTCGGTTGAAGGATTAGAAGTCTACGTGGTCGGCCCCAGCTGCGCGGAGGATGGCTTCCTTCTCGAGACAACGCGTCCGCAGGTCCTCGGTGATAACCACATGTTAATACAAGCTTGCTGTTTCCGGAAAACCTTCTATTTCCAGACAGCGAAACCCTACGTGCAAACCAATTAGACATATTATACGTACATGCATACCTAAATACATACGAAAATGCACACGTAAATACATGCGGACGTGCATGCATACCAACAAACACCACGCACATACACACATACCTACCTACCTACGACGTACGTACGATCACGTACGTGCGTGCATACAGAAAAACACGCATACATACACACGCACGTACATACAAACATACATTACATTACACTAAGACATACATACATACATACATACATACATACATACATACATACGCTATATACATACATACATGCATGCATGCGTATACGTCCTTACATGTATACATGTATTTATATGTGTGTGTATATATATATATATGTATATGCATATTTCCTTCCTTTCTTCCTTTCGTTCTTCCTTCCTTCCTTCATTCCTTCCTTGCTTACCTGCTTACTTACCTACGTACGTACACATATACACAAACATATACACGTAACCATACATCTACATACAAAGACCAGTGAACAGTACTGAAACACTTCTTGCCTTCGGAGAAGTTCGTGTTGGGGCCCAGACACAAGCCAAAAACCAGGCCAGGAGCTGGGAGGGTTTGAGGGTCATGGAGGGTTAAGGGTTTGGGTTCTACATGTCGGCTTCAATATGTTGGTCCCATGTGGCTACTTGTCCAGAGGTGCCGTGTCGAGGATAATTTCGACACTTCGCTCCCGGAAGAAGAAAGATCGACGAGAAGGGTGCGTTTCTGCATAAACTATGACTATGTCTTTTCCCCTTTCCCGAGCATTGCAAACCACCCACACATCCTTAGCCCGACTTAGCCCTGACCCACACAGCCCCAAAGCTCAACAACAAACCCTGCACCCGACTCTCCTACATTCCAAGCACGGACCAAGAAGAGACCCTCTGAAAATTTCCGAGGGCCCCTTTAAACTCATCGCCCAGGCTCCGATGCCAGTTGCTGGAGGGCTTCAGGGCACCTCTGAGCCTCTCTTGTGCTAGAAGTGGCCCCAAAAAAGGTCTATACAGGGCCTGCGTAGTTGAAACGGCTTGGGCTTGAGGTGTAGAGTGTGGAGTCCAAATGTGGAGGGTTACAGCGCGTGAAGGTCGGTTGAATCTTTTGTGCATTGGCATTGAGGGTGCAACATGTTTGGATGAGTTTAAGACATAAGCCGGACTTACAAAAACCCAGGAGGGAGCTTCATGAATGACTGATCATGGTCTGGGGTGTCTGTCAGCAGTTCGTGATTGCCGGCTTGAGTGTACAAGGCTGTTGTATCCCGAACTCTGAACCCTTTACCCAGCTCTAGTCGTGCAAGTTCCTAATGTTTGCCCGCTTCCCAAGCGAAGCGAGCGGAGAAAAGCCTAGTTAGAGCCCGGACCTGTGGTGGGTCATGGTGCTACTGGGGCCTGATGAATGAGCGACAGTATAGCTCAAGCACAAGGTACCCCAAAACCCTGCTCTAATTCTTCAGCCCCGGTGTATGAAACCCTATAAAACGCGCACCGCACTCCGATATAAGTCGGTTCTCTGTGTTATTTATTCTTCTGAGAAAGAAGACTTCGCAGGGCCCAAATCGTACGCGATGCTTCGGACATTGTGGTTTGTAGTTCCTTCTTCGAAGCTCTTCTGCGCACTTTCCTGACGGTCTCAGCCTAAGCTACAGCTACATGTTCGGTTTTGTAGGCTTTTAACGGGCCTTGAAGGTAGAGCTTTTGAGGGTTAGAAGGATGTTCTATAATATCGGGGTTGAAGAGGTGTATACGATGTTTCATAGCTGGGATTGCAGGGTGTTGTACCGGCATTCCACAACCACCCAAACCCCAACCTACATAGAAGCCCCTGTAAGACTGGGCAAAACGCGAAATTTTTAAGAAACTCCGAATGACCATTTCCCAGGCCCTTCATGACCCTTCAAAGGTGCACCCGGCCTTTGAGAGCCTGTCCTCAAGGTCCCTGGGAAATCTTGTCCACGGTTTGGGGTTTGGGGCTCTTGTGAACGAAAGCTCCGTGCCAGAGTTTGTTTGCAGGTCCGCAGTTGCTTCTAGACTTTATTCCGGGGTTCGTTAAATGCATCCTAGACTCTAAACGCCTCAAGCAGTAAGGCCCTAACTCCCCAGAACGCATTGACAGCTCTCATGCAGGAAGAAGGGTTTCGACTCATGGTTCTGCTTGTTTTCAATTCGTTCAATAGTTTTCAATACTGCAGCTTCGGCAGAATGGTAAGGATCATGGGTTGAGGGTTGGGGGTGCAAGGTTGAACCTTCTGCGGCTTCTCAAAAAGGGGCTCCTATCTTCATAAGATGGCGGCTTGCTGGAATTAGGATGCCGAGAAGCAACCCTGTCTAGAATCAGAGCGAAATACTGTATTAGTGATCAGAACAGGGCTTGGAGTGAACTACAGCAGACTTTTACAGGTTAAGAAAAGGCACCCTAAGGCCCTGAGAAATAGCACTGGTAAGTCTTCAGGCCCCTTTATGGAATCAGGACCCCTAAGGCTCTAGGCCTAGTGGCATTGAAATCCGGATCCTCCTTTGCACATGAACAGGTCGAAGCCCAACAAACACGCCGGATCTCTGCAAGTCCACAGGATCCTTCAAAAAACAGACACCAAACCCAAATTCATCAACTCGAAGCTCGAAAACCCAGCATTTAAAAACTCAACAACCCTGCCCGAGACCTGAAGCCCCACAACAAAAAAAGCCAGAATCTCCATCGGCCCAGTGTCTCCACATCTGTTGGCTTGGCCGGTGAAACCTCGTAAAAAACCAAAACACGGCAAACCAACCCTGCACCTTAATCGCAACTCCTTGGGATAAAACTATCGCGTTGGCTTTGCAGTTTGGGTTTTAGAGCTTAACTTGCTAGGGGACTATCTTCTTCTGTGTTTCATTGGGTTGTGCTTAGAGCTACTTTCGGAGGTGTAGTGGCCGTGGACAAGGTTCAGTGTCACATGCGCTGATGCGAAGCCGCAAAACTCGAACCCTACACCTTAATGCCAATACATGAACTCCCATGTCTCGCAAAGGGATCCTAAGAAACCATCGCAAGCTTCTGAAATTTGCGACCCGACCCAAGAATGGGAACAGTGGCCATCGTTGTGCTGATTGCGACCATCACAGTTTGACAACTTTGAATATGTCTGGACATTCTAGCCCTTATGTGGGATACAGTCGTTAGTAATACCATATGTTGCAACAGTTTGATTCGTATCAGTACTGCTGTCAAGGGTTCCCTCATGTTCTCTCACAGCTCCAAACCCTGAACCAGGAACCCCAACAAGCCTAAAAGTCAAAGTTGTTATACAGCTGCCACCCCTAAATCCCTAAACCCCTAAACCCTAACCCCAAAAGACGAGAAGCCGGCGAGGAGGCTGCCGCCTGCGCATTCGCAAGCAGCTCCGCATGGCGCTCGCAGGCTGCTTTGTGCCTTATAGGCTTTCGGGTTCAGGGAGTTCACGGTGTGGAGTTTAGGAAAGTTTAGGATAGTCTCCATATGTCGCCATTGTGGTTCCTTTTTTTTGGTTTAGCCAGTTTTATACTCAGGATCGTAGAAGGTAACCGCAAAAAGGAACTACGATGGAGAGAGACTTTAGGTAGAGTTGCTTAAAGTGTCCTGGGGCCCCTATTCTAATTACGCAGGTCCCGTTCTGAGTAGAATGAAACCGATGAGAAGTCTCAAGCTCTTAACCCCAAACCCTTACAAAGCCCCAACCGCCCCCTCCACAAGAAACGCATTTAAACCTGAACCCGACCGAAGAACAACCCAAACCGAAGACGTGAATGAAGGCAAGGCGCAAGTTGCATCGCAGGCGAAGTTCGGCCACCTCCAGGTGCTGTGAGCTCGCTTTTGGGCTATGCTTTGCTGCACCTGTATGGTTTCCTCTACTGGGTACTGAGTGGGGCTCCCCACTTGGCTTCCCAGGTGTCAGAGGTGCCGGCTTTTCGACCTCAGGCATGTTACAGTGAAGCGCCCTAATGTGGAGCTTAGAGGTTTGGGTGTGAGCGTTAAGTGTTTCGGCATATCAAGGTTGAGGAGTCATGACTCCCTCTCCATCTGAGGGTTCAAGGATTCAAGGACCCCTTCACGTATCACAAGTATTGCATCCCATCCTTCTGGTGCAGTCCCTGGAAGGCTTCAAAGACCAGCGTATGCCGAGACATTGAGGTCTTAGGTCGAACCTAGCCTAAACCCTTTATAAACCTCACCCGAAACCTTAAACTACCCCGGTCAAGTCTTGACCCCAAACCCTAACCTACCCAAGACCCTAAAGTACTGCAAGCCTCAACCCCAAGCCCTAAAGCTACCCTAAAACCCTAGCCCAACCCCACCCCAATCGCAAAACGTTCGACTCCAAAATCTTTATCTTTCAGAACCCTCGATGTTCCTGGCCTGAGCCAGAAAGATCTTCGGCTGCGCCTTCAGAGAGCCTCAGTGGTGTGGTCAACGGAATTTTTGTAGCACGGTTTTGATTGCTAGCGTACCAATATCAACATCCAACAAAAACATTCCTAACCGGCCCGGTATACAGTCACCCAAACCCCAATACATTATAGAGCCTACTTCATGTTTGAGTCTTGTGTAGGGACAGCGAAGGTTTGAGTTTGGTTCCTTCCTTTGCGGTTTGTTGGTTAGGGCTTGAGGTCTAAAATCCCAGAGTTGGGGGACCGGGGGCGCTTGCTGGTTCTGGGATTGACATGTGCTGGAATTCGGTGGAAACCCAGCTGAGTCATTGAAACCAGCCTTAAAGCGCCCGAAGCCCGAAACATGAAAACTTGGAACCCAAAGGCCTGAAACCTCGAAGCCCCGATCCCTGAATCCCCCTGAATCCCCAGCCATGAGGATCCCTTCAGTTGAGCAGCCAAGGTTTCTGGCCACCTGCAATGGGCGAGTGGTGTTTCAAGGATCACCGAAGTCCATGGGAATTCGAGCCGAAGACTTTAGGAAATGGAAGCCTTACATCCCTTGTACTGCGTATTTCGGCAAGCATACACGACTAGGAAATAACCATCCATGTTGGGGTTTAGCTAGGGTTCACAGTTCACCCTACCAGGCGCCGTGGAAGCTTGTACTCTGGGATCTGACCCAGAAAAACAGAGGCCGCACTACCACGATGCCAAACAGCTAGGATTGGTGGGGGCCCGGGTAGGGTGGGTAGGGACGCATAGGGCGTCTGTTAAAGCTTTCTCTGATAAGTGTTCATGCTAGTGGGTTTTCGTTTAGCGTGCCTGCTGCCACTCTAAAGAAAAGCCATGCGACTGCGGTGCTTGCAAAGGTAATTTGTGGCGAAAGGGTCTGTCTTGCCTACACAAATACATGAGCCCAGGGGTCCATGTACCTGCGTACATATAGATACACACACACACGCACACTTTTGTGTTTTTGTTTTCTCTCTCTCCCTCTCTCCCTCTTTCGCCCTATAGGTAAGTAGACCTGTAGGCCTTCGGCTCTATCCGATGCACGGCACGCCTCGCAGGAAATCTCCACGCTGAGCTGCTCCTGGAGGTATCTGTGGTTTCAAGCTTATGAGGGTCAATTGGGCTTAGGGGTCTGGGGTACTCAAGCAGCTTTGAGCCCGCCCTGCACTTCAGACACTTGCTAAGTTTAACTTAAGTAGGGGGTCAGCGTTCTCAAAAGCAAAATCGGCAACCTCGACCTTCACCCCATAGCGTGACAGAAATATCTTTACATCCTAAATCCTAGCCGGGTCCCAAACCATACCCCATACCTTGTAACCCGAAATCCTTCTCCCGCAAAACCCCTAAATCGCTAAACCCCTTATATCCTACCCCGCCCCTCCCCCCCTCCACCCCTTTTTGAAGCAGCCTGCAAGAGATCCTCAGCCTCCTGATTGGCCTTCTCAACTCGCTTCCTCGGGCGTTGCCAGCTTGGCTGTGAAGCCGTGACACCGCGTGAGCCGAATTCCAAATCCATCCAACAAATCTGATAAGAGTATTCTGTGTATTATTGTTTGTTCGTTAATTCACTGGCAGCAAAAATGGAAACGATAAGATTTTGCAGCGAAATAATATTTACTACTCTCTCCAGTGCAGATGGGGAGCAATCGCTCCTGCGCCGAATCGGGCGACAGCTGCGAGACTTCCCGATCCTCCCGAGCCGCCAGCTCCTCCTTTGGGCTTAGGGTTTAGACTTTCGGGGTTTAGGGTTCTGAGTCTGCAGCTTCAGGCCATGGGGGCCCGGTCCCAACATTAAGTTTTACGGGGGACTTTAGTCGGGTTCAGACCGCCATTTGCCTAAAGGCAAAACCCCAAATAAAGTTTCGAGGCCCGGAAGCGCAAAAGAAGTTGTAAATCAAACTCTTTATGTGCAGAAGCCCTAACAACCCCAGGTTCCTGAGCGATCCTTCTTGACAATATGCTAAAGAAATTCAAAAAGCAACCACCCGCACATGATTGACGAAATGCCATGAAATGCCAAAGATAAAAAAAAAAAAAAAAAAAAACTGACACCCCAAAACCCCCC